GGGGATCTATATATAAATTTATATAGTAGAATATTCCTAGTTACAAAATCAATTAACTTAAATATATACAATTAATTACAATGTGAACATATTAATAGCGTGAACACTAATATTCTAATACAAATGCTAATATTTTAACAAGCATCATAATTAAAATGATTTCTATCTCCCAGGGAATTTTTCTTTTCCATTAAAGCTTCAAATACAATACTCTTAATTTCGTCTTTAGACAAAGATAGACTCAGGGATTCACCAACTTTAGTCCTTAGATCAAGCATAAACATATATTTAGCTAGATGAACACTCATTCCCATCATAACATTAATATCAGTGACTAATAAGCCTTTATCAAACGGAGAACGTTTCCTTGAATCAATCCTTATCAACACGATCAATTTCATCTCCTTAACTAGACCCACCAAATAATATAATTCATTTGAAACAGAATTGCCATTAATGTGCAACCACAGATTGGCATAGAAATATTCAAAAGGATTATAAACATTAACAATTTATCACTCAAGCTCCTACGAAAGGGGCAGCTCTATTAGGATCACTATTGGTTCCTAGCAAAGATGCACAACTTAAACCAATCTTTAGCCAAAAAACAAAAATTAGGTTCAAGAGAGGGATTACCATAGGGTCTTTATTATCAAGAAGCTTCTCCAAAACCTTCAATCACAACGAGTCCCAATTGGCTCGTTATCACCCCCACAATTGGGCGTTGCTCTCAAATCTTTAAGGAAATCTGTTCCACTGCCTCCACTTGCTTGTTAGAATTGAGTCCCAAAACCAAATTTGTTAAAGCTATAGACATTGAAATTATGAATATAAACAAGTATTGAAGCAATCCTGGATTTCTATTCCGGAACTTGATTAATATTTTTTTTTTTTTGAAAATAACATTTTCACACAGATTAATCATTTTCTATAAATTTGGATTATTGAAATTCCAATCCCCAAAACCTACTAATTGTGTGACCCTTTACAGCACGATTCGAGTACCAGACTAACGATGGGATGGGACTAAATTTTTGTCCATTCCCATTGTTTTCCATGTTTGGTGGGGTTAAAGGATAAGATAAGTGTCATCCTATTTTTATCCAATCCTAAGCTCCTTCGATAAAATGTATCCCACCTCCCCCATGGGATTAGGTAGGATAAGGTTTGATTTTCATTTTTTATCCTTTTTATCTTGTCTTACAGACTCAAAAATGTTGGAATTGCATACAACATCGATCCGAAATCTTCTCTGTTCCTGCTACTTCTTCTTTTCCCTCGCCTTCTTCCTCCCCCTTGCTTCCTCTATTTCCTGAACCACCATTAACAACCATCAACCGCAACTCATCTTCTTCTTGCCCCTTTTATTCCTCTTGATGCTCCTTCTTCTTCTCTATCTCCTTTCTCCTTTTCTTCTTCCTCCCCCTTCCTTCCTTTATTTCCATCTAGTTTGGAGACTTGAACCAAATCTATGGAATTCAAAATTTTTAAAAAAATCGTTGGATTTTTTTGCTTCTTTTGTAGTTTATTTTTGACGAATTTAAATATATGTATAATCAAATTTGTTTTCAATGGAAAATAGAGGATTTTTTTTTTTTTTGTATCTATTTGTTGGTTGGGTTGTTTGGTATCCAAGAAAAGGAAGGAAAATGCTGGTCATGCTATTAATTTGTCCAATTAATTAATAATTAATGATAATGAATTTTTTTTTTGCCATCTTCAATTAATTTCATTATTAAAAAATTATTGTAAAATAAATGAAAAACATTAAAATTAAAATTAATTAGATTTACTTATAAAGTAAGGATATTTTTGCCTAAATAGACAATTATTTATATCTAATACCACTATATACCAAAAGTTTTTTTTTTTTTTTTTTTGAATGTTGAGGGTGGGATTTGAACCCCACACTTGCCAAGTTTAGCATGAGAAGTCCTGTGGAAAGGAAAGGTGGCTATTAGACCACAACGACGTTTTCACCACCATATCCCAAAATTTAAATGAACATGAGATTGGATTCAAAAAATAAATTCCTATATGATCCAATCTAATCTTACCTTATAAATTTAATCCAACCCAATCCAATCCTATACTCCAAACACATTGTTAGGTTTATATCATAATGGTAGTGCGTATATCCCACAAACTAAGAGTAGTATCTAGCAACATATCATGACCACTCAAAGTGATAGAATTGTCAATTACTTCACTTGTGTAATTAATCTCTTCATCATTGATATCTAAATCAAGTAAGAGGCATGTTACGTGTCATTATCCTTAAATTTTAATTTGTTTTCTTTGATTCTTAAGCTGGACATACTTCTTGAATGAAATTTTTCATTCATGTCTTGGCTATAGACTTGCAAGTAGTCTTATCTCAATCAAAAGGCCTAGAGATATATTATCTCATTAAACTCGAGAAGGACAAATCCAATCTTGACTCGTCTATTACTCTAGTGCCATTCATGGTGCACCTAATAACTATATTGATCTTAACCCATCATAGTGGCTATTTTTAACAGTATTAAAGTACACAAGTCCTCACATGGAATAATAACGATCTCAAATCAAAGGATTACTTACATTTGTGTCATAATTGAAGAGTTACTACTAGCACATGCATGTAGTGTTCTCATGATAGGTCAGTCTTATGCATTCATTTTTTGTGAGCCACCCACATGTGATCATGACTTCATGAGAAGTCTTGTCACCTAGCATAGTATCACAAGTGTTAGTCTTTACATCGATTAATATCTTATCTCAATGATGTACATGATTAATGGACAATTTAAGAATATTGCTATCACATGATACGATCCTCACAAATAGCAATAGCTTCTATTACCTTTTGATACAATAAACATTTTAAGGACTTTATTGATAGTTAATGTATGTAGAAGAATAATAATTAATATTCAATAAATAATACCATAAATATTATTTAATTGTAATCAAAGTACAAAAATTTCTAGCCAACCTAATTTGCTCAAGGGTATACTCTAATAGTCTTACCCTAGAAAAAGCGTTGTTTTGGCTATTGGGACAAACTTTAATATCATAAGAGGTTTTCGCATACAAACTTGACTACTGAGGTGGTGCCTTCCTTCATTAATGCCTAACACTAGCAAGGAGGACAACTCCAGTATATAGAATAACCAAGATATTGATAAACTAGTCTAGCTAGTGACCAACAAAAAAGCTAATTATTAATTAGGAATCCAATTATTAAAAATTTTGTCCAGGCTCTGGAACCAAGCTAGACTTTGATGCTATAGCTAGCACATGTTGTTTAAGCTGTGAAAAACCAACAACAAGGGGAGCTAAAACTATGGATATCCTAAAAGTAGGACTAAATAAATCAATACCAACCTAAAGGACTAAACTGAAAAGAAACTTAAAATATGGAGTAAAGTTAAAATCTTACTAAATCTGAGGCATCAGTGGCGGAATTACAACAATAATCATCCCCTTCATCCAAACTCCTTGTCGTAGCCCCTAAACTTGCCTGCCCATTACCATTCACCCCACTTTGTGCGCAATCATTTTCCATAGGTTTTTTAACATGTGCCTTTAAGAATATGTTTTTTATATTAATTGTTATTAAAAAATAAAAATTAATCTTTGTTTAATTAATTATCTAATTATAATAATTTATGTGACATTAGTGATAAAATTAACATCAATTTTTGTCATTTTTAATGTTAATTAATAGAAAGCCAAAAAAAAATCAATTAATAATAAAAATATATATTAATTACTCCTTAATCTACTCTTAAAAAAACCCTTAATTAATTCGTAGAAAACAACTTGTACTTTTGTAACGCAAACCCCTTTAGCTACCTAGAGTTACTTGATGTTTGGGTTGGGAGGAACGGAGGAGAGGGAAATTATATCCTTTTATTCCTTCCATTTACTTTCTCTCGTTTGGATAAATAGCCAAATTAAAAAATATAAAAGAAAAGAAAATTTTCCCTTCCCCTCCCTTCCATTTGTGTGAGCCCAAACATACTGTAAAATTCTAACTCTACTTAACATTTTCCGCTTGTCAATCTTGGATGAATGAACGATAATAAGAAAATAATTTATCTAGGGTACAAGTTAAAACTATAATAAATATTTTTTATTATATTTAATTTATATAAAAAATTTATACATTTAAGGCACAGATGCATTAAATATACTATTTTCTAATAATTTCTATAAAAAAATGTAAAAGTAAGACATTGTTTTTAATACAAATCTCAATTAAATTATTTTAATTAGATAATTGATAAATTAAAGTGAATTTTTATTTTTTTATTATAAATTAATTATAAAAAAGTACAATATCCTTAACTTATATTCTTAGAATATAAGGTAGATAAACCCAAAGAATTCTTTTAACATATGCTCTAAAGGTATATATATTACATCTTTTAGGAATAAAGTTATTGTTATCAGCTATTTTTAATAGTCAAATTAAAATAAAAATTTGACAATTTTTAGTGATTTAAACAAATTTAATAGTAATTATGACCAGACCTAGACATTAATTTATTAATTTATGTAGAAAAAAAATTATCATTAATTTTATGGATTATCAAACTAAAAAATTCACACGGCATGAGTATTATAATTAATGTCAACATTTTTATTTTCTCATTTAAATTAAAATTTAAAAGGTACAATAACTATACTTTTAATCTGTGTTGTCTTGACAAATTCATATAAAAAAAAATGTAGTTATTACCGTTTAAGACCTAAAAGTTAGAAAAACCGACAAGAAAAAAGAGAGATGAGTGTAAATTGCGGTTCATTTTCGGTGCCACCTCCATTATACCCCAGTAATCCCACAATGAATGGCACACGGTATCGTGTGAGAGTCCAAGCATAGCTGACTTCTGGCAAACAATGAGTAAATGCTCCTGCTGTCCATTTTGACTCTCTTGAAGCAAATCCCCCTCTTCCCTTTTACCTCACTTCGGTCTTTTCTATATATAGACAACCCAAACCCTCACTTTAGATCCATGTGTTTCAATAGAGAAAGTAAGTAGCTAGATTTTAGGGCGGAGATAATATAATACCAGAACCACCTTTCTCTCTCACTCTGTTTTCATTTTTTTTTTTCTTTTTTTTCTTTCTTTTGGCCTTTTCTTGAGCACTTCAGTTTCTGGAGAGAGATCAATCTAGTGAATATGGGAAGACCTCCTTGCTGTGACAAAATTGGTGTCAAGAAAGGACCGTGGACGCCGGAGGAAGATATCATTCTTGTCTCTTACATTCAAGAACATGGTCCTGGAAATTGGAGAGCAGTTCCCACTAATACAGGTAAAGTTAGTACTTTAATTCATGTTTTCATGTTTTTGAAATTTTGATCTGGGTTTTTCATTTTTGGTTGGTGGTGGTCATTAAAGTGGTAGCAATAAATATTCTGGCACCCTTTTGTACAGTTAGTGGTATAATGGTTTCGGTCTTCTCTCTTCACAATTTGTTCATTGATTTCTCCTTTTTGTTGCAGGCTTGCTTAGATGCAGCAAGAGCTGCCGGCTCCGGTGGACTAATTATCTCCGACCGGGTATTAAGCGTGGTAACTTCACTGAGCAAGAAGAGAAGATGATAATCCACCTCCAAGCTCTTTTAGGCAACAGGTAACAATTGAGATTATCTGTCTCTACCTTTTATCTTTAGTTTAAGTAGAACTAATTCTTACCGGTTAAGGTAAAAGAGAGATTTAATCTTTTTTTTTTTTTTTTCCAAGATTTTCAGTCCCAATATATAGATCTATGAATCGTTTGCAGTTTACCCT